AGCGGCAGCCCCGGAAGTGTATTCGGGTCCAGGCGGGCGGCCCGAGCCCACCACCAGCCGCCTCCCATGGTTCGCACTACGACCGCCGCACAGGGCTCCGCCTCACAAGCCGCCCGTAGGCTGAAATACACGTCAATCACACGTAGGCGTTCATCCATTCGCTGTTGGCACGTCACTGAGGCCCAGTGCGCACCGTCCATTGGTCAGAATGGCAGCAATTCCCTCCTCTCTCATCTGTGCCGGTACTAGGCGTCCCACCCTGCTTCAGCTGCTGGACTAGGAATCCCAGCGATCACTGTGCCCGGGGAAGGCGGGTCTTCAGAAGCTGGAGGCGCGATGTCTGCCGGGACTTGTAGTTTTTGTTAATAATTTTAATCCCAGTAGCCAAAATCCCAAAACTCTTAATATAGAACTTTTGAAAAATCTCGAAGAGCCCAGAGGAGAAAGTGAAATTCACCATAAATCCCACCAATGAGCCGTTACCGCTATATTTTGATATAGTCCTGTCCTGTCTTTTTTCTATACAGATGTAAAATAAGATGCCCTTCGATAAATAAATTTTTCTTCACATTAACAATAAATCAGTGGATGGATTATTTTTCCACAGCGTAATTTTAAAAGACATTTATTTTGAATATGGGACAAGATGCAGAAGTTACAAAAACGTCTGATGAAAAGTAATTAGCCCCTGGCCAGGTAGCTCAGTTGGTTAGAGTGTCCTCCCCATACATTAAGGTTGAGGGTTTCATCCGGGCCAGGGCATATACAGGAATCAACCACTAAACGTGTAAGTAAGTGGAACAACAAATCGATGTTTCTCTCTCTTATGTCAATAAATTTTTTTTAAAAAAAGTAATTCCCAGCCTGTGCCCCACCGTGTCCCACAAAATCAAGTTTAATGGTTCATACTGATGCATTATAAGTGATCCCAGGGCCGAGGCTGTTTCCAAACTTCCCTGCTATAAGCCATTGTAGTTTCCTTGTAGGTGTAAGCCTATGCCTGAGTCAGGAGGGACCAGCTCTCACTGTCAAACTTCAGCCTCCAGCTTCTGCCTCTGGGTTCACACATGTCTTTATATATCCCCTGTTGACCCTAAAAATAAAACAGTCGTTTTTGTTTTGTTTTGTTTTACCCGCAAAAATGGGTTTATCCGGGAATAGCAAAGAATTGCAATTTGCAAGCTATACAAAAAGCATAAGCAAGTCCAACAAAGGAGAGAAACGTTATTTAAGAGAAAAAGGAAGAGGTTGGGAAATCCATTGCAGAAAAAGGAGAGTTCAGGGAGATGACGGTTTCTCATTGGCTGAGCTGATGGGGTAGTTAATTTCTCCTAATAGAAATTAACTTGATGTTTCTGTCTCTCTCTCTTCCTGTATTGCAATTTACATCTTTTCAAATTGGGGCTTATAACTGATTAGAGGCTCAGTGCTCGAAATGGTGCACAGGTAGGAT